TCAATTGACCTTCAAGAAGGAGCACAACCGCCATTTGGACCAATCTACAATTTATCACAAAATGAGTTGACTGAACTCAAGGAGTATATTGAAGAAAATCTAGCCAAGAATTTCATACGCCATTCAAAATCTCCGGCAGGAGCTCCAATTCTATTTGTGAAGTAAAAAGATGGATCATTATGGATGTGTATTGATTATCGAGGACTCAATAAGATTACTATCAAGAACAGGTATCCACTACTTTTAATATGTGGACTTCTTGATCAACTGAATCAAGCTAAGATCTATACAAAAATAGATATCTCGGGAGCATACAATCTAGTACGCATCAAAGAAGGAGATGAATGAAAGACTACGTTTTAAACTAGGTATGGATATTTTGAATACAACGTCATGCCTTTTGGACTTACAAATGCACCAGCAGCTTTTCAACATCTAATGAATGATGTTTTTCGAGAGTTTTTGGATGATTTTTTGGTCTGTTATCTAGACGACATCTTGATCTATTCTAAGAATCCAGAAGAACATGAACTTCATGTTCGTCATGTGTTACAAAAATTAAGAGATGCAAGAGTCTATGCAAAGATAAAAAAGTGTGTATTCTACACTACTCAAGTCGATTTCTTAGGTTATATCATTTTAAATGATAGACTTATGATGGATCCTAAGAAAGTTCAAAGTATTATAGATTGGAAGATCCCAAAAATGGTAAGAGATATCCAATGCTTTTTGGGATTTGCCAACTACTATCGGATCTTCATCAAAGACTTCTCTCGAGTTGTAGCTCTACTTACACGTTTGACTTGTAAAGACAAACTTCAATAGAATCAAGAAGCGGAAGTTGCTTTTGAATCTTTGAAGACAGCATTTGTTTCTGCACTAATCTTATATCGTGTTGATTTTTCTAAAGCGATCTTTATGGACACAGATACATCTGACTTTGCTCTAGGCACAATTTTGTCACAAATGGAAATAGATGACAAACTTCATCTAGTAGCCTTTCATTCAAGAAAATTCTCAAAAGCAGAAATCAATTATGAGATCTATGACAAAGAACTTCTTGTAATTGTGGATTCTTTTCAAGAATGGCATCATTATCTAGAAGGTGCTTCGAGTCCAGTCACCGTGTATATGGATCACAAGAACCTCGAGTATTTCATATCAACATGCATATTAAATCGTTGTCAAGCTCGTTGAAGCATGTCTTTATCAAGATTCGAGTTCATCATCACTTATCGACTAAGAAAATAACAAGGTTTGTCCGATGTCTTATTTAGACATTCTTATCTTGCACCAAAAGAAGGAGATGCAGCTTTTGACCAATAAAGAACGGTTCCCTTGAAGCCGAAGCAATTTCATCTTCGAGCAATAAAATCAACATTAACTGTTGATTTAACTTTTCTCAAGTAAGTCCAATTAAGTATGTCTTCAGACCCTCTTGTTCATGATATCAAGAATAATTCTTCTAAATCTGATAATCTCTCTCAATTCGACTTCAAGAACAACCTATTCTATTTTGAAGGATGCCTATATATTCTAGAAGGAGAAGCACGTTTATGTATTCTTCAAGCTCGTCACGACTTTTCAGCAGCAGAACATTTTGGATACAATAAGACTTTGGAGCTGATATCTAGGGATTTTTGGTGGACTCAAATATGAAAGGTAATGAAAGATTTTGTTCAATCATGTGAAATTTGCTCGAGATCAAAAATTCCTTGTCATCAACCTTATGGACTTCTTCAGCCATTACCCATTCTAGAACAACCATGGTCTTCTATTTCTATAGATTTCATCATGGATCTTCCAATCTCAAGTTCTTATGACTCTATATTCGTGATAATAGATCATTTTATTAAGATGGCACATTTTGTACCATGTACAAAATCTATCACAGGTGTAGAAATTGCTAAGCTCTTTCTTGACAATATCTATCGCTATCATGGATTATCCAAGGATATTATATCAGATAGACGAAGTCAATTTGTATCAAGATTTTGGCAGACTCTTTTCAAGATTCTAAAAGTGGATATAAAACTATTTTCGGCATTCTATCCTCAAACTAATGGACAAACAGAGCGTGTTAATTAAGTTTTGGAGCAATATTTAAGATATACCATTAACTACCAATAAGATGATTGGACAACTCTTTTGCCATTAGCAGAGTTTGCTTACAATAATATAATACATTCTTCTACAAAACAAACACCTTTCTTTACTAATTATGATTATCATCCACAACTTGACACTTTTGACTTTTCAAAAGTTGATAATCCCGTTACAAAAGATTTGGTGATTCATTTGTCAAAGCTACATGCAACAATGAAGGCGCAATTAAAAGAAACTCTAGAACAACAAAAGGTCAATGAAGATGTCTATAGAAAGGAACAACCACTATTTCACTTGGGAGATAAGGTGTGGCTACTTCGTCACAATATCAAGACCACTCACCTTTGTGACAAGTTGGACTATTGAAGGCTTGGACCATTTTCTATTTCTGTACAAATCAATCTAGTTACATATCATTTATATCTATGAAAGTCAATAAAAATCCATCCAGTATTCCACATATCTCTTCTTGAACCATACAAGATAGTGGACATATGAAGAAGACGACAAGCTCTACCTCCTCCTATAGAAGTAAAAAATAATGAAGAGTTTGAAGTAGAAGAAGTCTTAGATTCAAGATGGTGCCAAAATAAATTAGAATATCTTGTCTATTGGCGCGGATATGGTATTAGTGAACGCACATTGGAGCTAGTAAAGAATCTTGCAAATGCAGCAAAGGCGGTGGAGGCTTTTCATCAACGACATCCATCAAAATAAAGATAAAAACGTTTTTTATAAAAGAAACAACATCTAGGCAAGATAACATTCTACTTTCAATCCTTGTTTGTAGCTTCTTTGTAGTTGTGATGCTTAGGAGATGGAGAACCAACAACCAGCGGATTTGAGTCAAGAGCCTTCATTTGCTGACTTGCCAAACGAGACATTATGATTGTCACAACCTTCAAGACGATGCAATTGAAATGAAGATCTTCAAAAACAACATATTCTTCCTCGAATAGATGGCGAGATACACTACGTTTGGTGTCACGACTTGGGAAGGGACTCCCAATATTTGGTGATTTTACTAGAGGTAGGAACAACTCCTAATGGTGTTTCAAATGTTCTATTCGAAGGAAGTTATGAAGGCCTCAACAATGATCAAATAATTGGATGGTCTTCCCGCCTTGGTATGGGACACTATCGATGATTGAGAGGCCCTATCAAACATCTTCAAAGAGAACAAAGATCAGAGTATGTGGCGAATACAATTCGTTGCATCATAGATTTCCTCAACATATGATGATTGCTCTTCGTGGAACTCGTCCCTTGAAAGGGAGATAATGTCACAGACATATTCATGTAAGCTAGTAATTATATATATAAATAGATAGAAGTAAATAAAAGTAGATAAAAGTAAGTTGATATTCTATAGTATTTGATATGGAAGCTTCTTAAAAGCTTTATAGACACTGTTTTGACTTTATAGGTGTCTTTAATTAACTTTTTGGATTAGAAACTTGGTCAACAAGTTGGCCATGTGCCACATATGTTATTAGCTTGAAGATCAAGCTAACTATGTGGCCTATATGTAGAAAAACTTGCCTTGTAAGTCAAGGCATGTGTTCTACAAAGTCAACATATTTTAAAGGTCCTATAGAACGTCGCCATGTAGCCACTAGTTAGATAGTATATATAGAGACAAGAGTGAAGCCTTCTTCATTCTTGTCAACTCCTTTCTTGCTTCTAGTCTAGTTTCAAGGGTCTCTAATTTTCTTGTCTTTTGGCAATAGCCATTCTAGTTTCTCTTTGAATATACATACTTATTTATTTTTATTTTGTTATCTTTTTTTGAGTGAAGACTCACTTGTCTGAATTACTTTTTCATCAAGTTCTTGTCCTTGACAACATGTTATGAAAACTTAAGATAAATTAAATAATTAGATTAAAGAGTATTGGTATTTAATTCAATTATGCTCTAAGATATTAGAACTTTAGAGTTAATAAGAGTTTTTATGATCTTAAGCAATTTTATATTGGATTGAAGTAAATTTTTATATTAATATATTAAACTTGTTTTTTAATCAAATTTTCAATTTTAAAAGCAAGTGAACAGTACAATAAGAAATTGTTGTTGCTTAAAGACCAATGTTAAGATTGGAAAAAAATGACCATTTATACATTAAAATAAAATAATTTTTGTTTTATTAAAATTCTTATATTTATCGTCAATTAACATATTGTAATTTATTTAAAATATTAAGGAAGACCAATAATTCTATAAATAGTTATTAAAGTTATAAGTTTATTATAGAAAATTAATTAAGGTTGATTAGAATCCAATTAAGATTTTTAGAATTTGATCAAGATTTTATTATGATTATTTAAGATTTATTAGAAGTTATTTAGAATATTTTAAAAATTTATTGAGATTTATAAGATTTTATTACAATTTTATTAGGATCAAATTATATTTTTTTATTATATTTTTATTTTTATTTTTTGATATTTATTTAAAGTTATTTAAAATTCTTTATGATTCTTTCATAGTTCTTTTAGATTTTTTTTAAAGTTTTTTTTAGATTTGATTAAGATTTGACTAAGATTATTAAGATTTAATTGAGATATTTTTTAGGATTTTGTTACAATTGTTAGGGTCTTTGTTTGTTGCAATTTCTAGTTTATCTTCTATATCTAAGTACTTGGTGCATTCTCAAACTAGACATCATGTCATTTAAAAATGTCTATTTTTTTTAAAAAAAATACCTTAAAAGTAAATATAATACAAGATTAGTACAAAAAAAAAAAAAAAATCTATATTTAAAAAATTATTATTAACTTTTTATTCTATTTCAGTTGTTTTATACTTTTAAACCTAAGATTTAATTAAGATTTTTATTCTTGATATTTCTTTGAACGCTAACCCTAAAACCTGCATTTAAAGGATGTATAGGATCGAGGCTTGTGGACCTTGCTAAATTTAGTATTTGAAACTAAATTAAGCCATGAGCAAGGGCTACGATATCTTAGCTCAAATGGGCACTCTTGTACCAAAAATCACTCAAATCAGCCCTAATATGGCTCAAATGTGCACTCATGCATCCAAATCACTCAAAGCAAGACCAATAGAGAACTAACAAGCTTTAAAGTTGTAAAATGCATCTCCAATGCTTCGAATGGCTCCTAAATACTCCAAATGCCCACTTGGGCACTTCCAAAACTCCAAATGCCAGCAAAGATATCTCGCCTGATGGATCGTTCGGATGTCTGGGTCCAACTCGATCTTGTGTTCTGCTAACTTGGCTGGGATGCGCTTCAAGTCTTTATACGACCAAGCAAACACGTCACTATACTTCCAGAGCATGTGTTCGGCTGCATTGGCTAGGTCGGCCTCCTAATTGGAATTGATCTTAAGTGATTTCGGATCTACGTCCGTTCCAATGTTGATCTCTCGAACTGCCTTCTGCTCCGACTTCGTCCATGTTTCAACGCTTCCGCCTGGGATCTTCTGGTAGGCTGGTGCTTCGTCGATCGAAACGGCTCCTTCCTTGTGCTCGTAGAACTGCTGTGGATAAGGTCGAGCGTGGCGCTCCATCAAGTCGACCTGGATGCGTGCCGATAGTTCGATTGTGCCAATCGGGATCAACTCCTCCTCGGTGAGAAGTAGATTCAGCTCCTGCTATTCCGTCAATCCCTTCGCGAAGTCATAGCAAACTAATACCTCAGGTAGTTTCGGTCGCGGTCCTGTTCGTGGATTGACTGGTATCGTGCGAACAGTGCCGTTTCCACAGATGGTCACCTGTTGATTTCCCCAGTCGTGTTTGACCTTGAGTGTAGGTCGATTTGATGGTTGTTTACAATATCGGAGAAGCTCCGACCACTCAGCTGACACTGGTTGCTCTTCGTCCGGGGTAGAACTTTCGTCGAGGTGTTCCTGCTCTGGTTCTTTTGCTTGAAGTTTCTTGAATTCGGAAAACATGGAGTCGTGGATGCGCTCCTCCTTTTTCCAATCCTCTTTGGTTCTTATTATGCGGGACTGTGGCTCTATCCACCTTCTCAGTCCCTTTCTCCTCGACCTCCGTTATTGTGACCGATCGAACGCCTACATCTGGTTTAGCTTTCCTATTCAACTCCTGTTCCAAAAGTTTTTGGAACGCCTCCTGATACTGGCAGTTTCTTCGGGTGTGACCTCGCTGGCCACACTGATAGAACGTCATATCAGCCTCATCTCGACGATTAGGATATTGGCTCAACTTGGGTCCGAACGGTCGATTGCCGCTCGATTTCGGGTCACTAGCGCTGTTGGTGTTGACTTCGTTAACTCCCACTGTATCCTTGTAGTTGTGGGATCGAGTGGTGCGATTCCTGGAATTGTCGGGGTTGTAATAACATCCTGCAGCGTTATGATTGACCCGTTTGCAATAACTGTAAGGACTTTGCTGGGGTTCCTAGGAACTCAAAGTGCTCGATTGATGATCCTTGTTTCCCCCCGACACAGTCGAGGTGTTGGTATTTCGGCCCAGTCGAATGCTCGCATTAGTACAGCGCTTCTGGGTACTGACCGCTGAATTCACCAAGTTCGTCATTGTCGTGAACTCATGCGAACTCGATGCGTATTGTAACGAGTCGGTCAGTCCCGTTCGAAAATTGGTCATCACAAATTTCGAACCCGGTGGGCTGGATAAGTTATCGACCAAATCCATGAACCGCTCGTAAAACACTTTGACTTTCTCATTCGGCCCTTACTTCAAATGCTTGATAGCAGCATAAAATTGTTCGTCTGTTTGATCCCTTCGATAACGTCAACAGAAGGCTGCCTTTAGATCCCTCCACGTCGAGTGAGGAGCTGCTCTCAAAAACTTATCGTGCCATTTCTGGGGTCCTTTCTTCAGGGTCGTACGGAATAGATTAATTATTTCCTCTTCTTCGGTTTCCCCGTTTGGCCTCAGTGCTCGTTCGAACGCGATCACATGGGCGTCTGGGTCGGAATCCTCCTCATACATCTGATAGGATACCGCCTTTCGTTAACGCCGTTCACCTGGTCCGAACATTTGATATGGATAAGGTGGTATATAGTGAGGGACGTACCCGGGTGCAGCGTGATGTATCGATTCTTCAAACGCTTGTGCCGGTGTCGTCATGGAATATAATTCCGGTCTCAGATCAGGAGTATACGAGCCGTTGTTGTCACGTCTGCTCTCGACCAGTGGAGATTGGCCTCGTGGTCGACTGCGCCACTCCTGTGCGTTTGATGTATATGATTGGAAGTGGGGGTATTGCCCGTACTGCTCTAGCCGACCCCTACATTTAGCTCCTAATCATACCCGGTGAAGCGGAGTTGCCTGCATCGGTTCAGCGTAGCTGGTTGGGTGATAGCTGCGCTGGGCTGTCTGAGTGCTGGCAGCCCGTGGGTCATATGGTTGCGCCTCGCGAGGTCAAATTCGACCTAATCCTTTTTCTTTGTACATGGGATTCGAAAGAAGTCCTGGCTCTGTGGCCATGGGTGCGGTTCACTTCAAATTCCCTTGCTTAATACTGGTGTAGAAAGCTGTGCAGAATCGACTGGAGACTCTGATCCGCTCGAAACCCGCCTCGAGAAACTGCGCCACAGTTTCCACCGACTCCTGCCCCGTGAATGCCCGCACAGTAACCCACATCACCATTCAAAGCACAAAACCAAAGGGAAAATTAATACAAGGAGCAAGTGGAAGTGGTGGAATTCAACAAAGAGGAGAAGTTTAATTGCCTCCTTTCTTAATGCCTCTAACCTTGTAGATTGTGCTTTATACATGTGCATTTGTAAGATTTAAATGTACATTTGTATGGCTCCTACCACTCCATGTACTTTGAATTCTTAGTTTAGTACACTTGAATATATAGCTCCTTATTTGCTTGGTTTATAAAAATAAACATAGGTATTTTCTTGTCTCAAAAAATATCTCCCATGTGTCACTACCTTATTCAAATAAGTCATCTTTTCCTTCCAAATGGCAAATTATAAGTTATAATTTGATTCTTATGAAATAAGTACGGTAAAACTAAAACCTTATAAGATGTGGGAAGTATAAGTTATTGGAGGATAATTTATCTACGATACATCTATATAATATTGAGGTTGAGGAATTGCATTATCCAAGTACACAACCAATTGCATTGAGTGGATCATATGATAGGAAAAATTGATAGTTCCGACATGCCATGTTGATTCAATTAAACCTTTGATAAAGATCATATATCTAGAAAAAATTAAAGGTTATTATTTTTTTTTTTTCAATTAATTGTACTAGCTACGCTACATAATCAAAAGGTCATGAAAACAAATTTTGGATCATTTACTATTTAAAATAATTAACCTTGATATTTTATTTCAAAGAATTCTACACATGATTTCATAAAATATAGTTATTAAAATATGTCAATAAAAAATCTATTATATCAAAAATGCCCTGAAAGAATTCAAGAAGAATCAACTATAATTTGAAAAACGCCTATATGTTCCAGAAGGTGAAGCTCGATTATGTGTTCTTCAAGCTCGTCATGACTTTCCAATAGTAGGACATTTTGGATACAATAAAACTTTGGAACTAATATCCAGGGACTTTTGTTGGCCACAAATGTGGAAAGCAGTCAAAGATTTTGTACAATCTTGTGAAATTTGCTCAAGATCAAAAACTCCTTGTCATCAACCTTATGGATTTCTTCAGCCATTATTAATTCTATAACAAACATGGTCTTCTATTTCTATGGATTTCATCACGGATCTTCCAATCACAGGTTCTTATGACTCTATATTCGTGATAGTAGATCGTTTTATCAAGATGGCACATTTTGTACCATGTACAAAATCCATCATAGGTGAAGAAATAGCTAAGTTCCTTCTTGACAATATCTATCGCTATCATGGATTATCCAAGGATATTATATCAGATAGAGGAACTCAATTTGTATCAAGATTTTGGCAGACTCTTTTCAAGATTCTAAAAGTGGATATAAAACTAACTTCCGTATTCCATCCTCAAACTGATGGATAAACAGAGCATGTTAATTAAGTTTTGGAGCAATATTTAAGATGTACCATTAACTACCAACAAGATGATTGGACAATTCTTTTACTATTAGCAGAGTTTGCTTACAATAATATAGTACATTCTTCTATAAAATAAACACCTTTCTTTACTAATTATGGTTATCATCTACAACTTCATACTTTTAATTTTTTAAAAATTGATAATCTTGTTGCGAAAGATTTGGTGATTCATTTCTCAAAGCTACATGCAATGATGAAGGCACAGTTAAAAGAAACTCAAGAACAACAAAAGGTCAATGCGGATGTCTATCGAAAGGAACAACCACCATTTCACTTGGGAGATAAGGTATGGCTACTTCGTCGCAATATCAAGACCACTTGTCTTTGTGACAAGTTGGACTATCGAAGGCTTGGACCATTTTCTATTTCTGTACAAATCAATCTAGTTGCATATTGTTTATATCTACCAGAGTCAATGAAAATCCATCCAATATTTCACATATCTCTTCTTGAACCATACAAGATAGTGGACATATCAAGAAGATGACAAGCTCTACCTCCTTCTATAGAAGTGAAAAATAATGAAGAGTTTGAAGTAGAAGAAGTCTTAGATTTAAAGCAGCGCCAAAATAAATTAGAATATCTTATCTATTGGTGCTGATATGGTATTAGTGAATGCACATGGGAGCTAGTAAAGAATCTTGCAAATGTAGCAAAGGTGGTAGAGGCTTTTCATTGACGACATCCATCAAAATAAAGATGAAAATCTTCTTTATAAAAGAAATAACATCTAGGCAAGATAACATTCTACTTTCAATCCTTGTTTGTAGCTTCTCTGTAGTTGTGACGCTCAGGAGATGGAGAACCAACAACCAGTGGATTTGAGTCAAGAGCCTTCATTTGTTGACTTGCCAAATGAGACATTATGATTGTCACAACCTTCAAGATGAAGTAGTTGAGATGAAGATCTTCAAGAACAACATATTCTTCCTCGAATAGATGGCGAGATACAACGCTATCGGGGTAGAGAGAGTTTGCCTCAAGAAAACACTGGGCTTCTTGCTGTCACTAATTATTCAATCAAGCTTAAAAATAAGGGAAGCCCTAAGTTTATATATAATTTTTCCCTTTTGAGAAATTACACCAAATACACAATCCTCAAGTAACCAATAACATCCAAAATATGATAAAATCCTTGAAAACCTTGTATATTCTTATGTGGAGATTTTTTCAAACTTCAAAACCTCATATCCCCTAATCCGACCGTCCAAAAAAACTCAAATTTTATATGAGATACTGATGTATTCTTATTAACTTATACAACAATTTTCAACGGCAAATTTGTTGCAGATTTTGAGATATCTTGAAAATCCTAACAGTCGCTTCAAATCCTTGTCTTTATATACTTACATGCAATTTTCTTCATATCTCACAAAATATAAGCTCAAATGCCACGAAATTTGTATGTATAGCTTCTTAACACAAAAATTTAAATTTTGCAAAAATTTTGAGCCATAAATTCGTCTGAATACTCAAGTTATGACTCCAACCATTACTACAAACAAAACTGCTTACTTACTGCCTTCGATTTGAAAGAGCCGCCTTCAATTCCTTATAACTCCTTAATATGGACTCCAAAAACAATAATTCTTTTGTGAAAGATGTAGGCCTTGAAATTGCCGTTTCAGTCGCACCTTTCGATCTTCAAAATCTGCTGTAAAACTCCTCATATCTTCAAAAGAGTTTCAATATGTTTTAAATTAACACTTTAACTTCAAACGGCTATAATTTCTTCATCCTAATTCCAAATTCCATAATTTTTGTACACAAATTGTATCCCAAATCCTAAACTTTACAACCATAGCTTTTAATTTCCGAATTCTCTCGAAAGAGGAATCCTAATCCCTAATAAGGCTTCGGGCAGCCTCCTTGAAGCCCAATGGGTATGGCCTTCGACCAATAGGAATGAAGTTTTCTATTCCTTGCCTTCATCCAACCATGCCTTGCTTTCATCCCTCCCATTAAGCCTCCTATTAGTTAATATTTTCTTCTTTAGACCCCAACCTTCTCTTAAGCTTTATACTAAATATTTAGGTCTTATATATATATATATATATATATATAATTTTAATGTCAAAATCAAAACAAGTAATGAAACAAAGTAAATTTTCTTATTCCAACTCTTTTTAATTTAATCTACTAGCCACTCTAACACACATCTAGATTTATTAACATATAATATATTCTAACTAATTTTTACATGCTGTAAGTATTTACAGTACAACAACGCGTTTGGTATCACGACTTAGGAAGGGACTCCCAATGTTTGGTGATTTTACTAGAAGTAGAAACAACTCTTGATGGTGTTCCAAATATTCTATTCAAAGGAAGTTATGAAGGCCTCAACAATGATCAAATAATTGGATGGTCTTCCCACCTTGATATGGGACACTACTGATGATTGAGAGGCCCTATCAAACATCTTCGAAGAGAACAAAGATCAGAGTATGTGGCAAATACAATTCGTTGCATCATAGATTTCTTCAACATATGATGATTGCTCTTCGTGGGACTCGTCCCTAGAAAGGGAGGTAATGTCATAGAGATATTCATGTAAGCTAGTAATTATATATATAAATAGGTAGAAGTAAATAAAAGTAGATAAAAGTAAGTTTATATTCTATAGTATTTGATATGGAAGCTTCCTAGAAGCTTCATAGACACTGCTTTGACTTTATAGGTATCTTTAATTAACTTTTTGGATTAGAAACTTGGTCAACAAGTTGGCCATGTGCGACATATATTTTTGGCTTGAAGACCAAACTAACTATGTGGCTCACACGTAGAAAAACTTGCCTTGTAAGTCAAGGCATGTGTCCTACAAAGTCAACATATTTTAAAGGTCCTATAGAACATCGCCATGTAGCCACTAGTTAGATAGTATATATAGAGACAAGAGTGAAGCCTTCTTCACTCTTGTCAACTCCTTTCTTGCTTCCAGTCTAGTTTCAAGGGTCTCTAATTTTCTTGTCTTTTGGCAATAGCCATTCTAGTTTCTCTTTGAATATACATACTTGTTTATTTATATTTTGTTATCTTTTTTTGAGTGAAGACTCACTTGTCTGAATTACTTTTTCATCAAGTTCTTGTCCTTGATAATATCCAAAGATATTATATTTCATAGAGAAATCGAGTTTGTATCAAGATTTTGATAGATTCTTTTCAAGATTTTAAAAGCAGATATAAAACTATCTTTGGTATTCTAACATCAAATTGATGGACAAATAGAGCATGTTAATAAAGTTTTGGAATAGTATTTATGATGTACCATCAATAACCAATAAGATGATTGGACAAGTCTTTTATCAATGGTAGAGTTTGCTTATAATAACACAGTACATTCTTCTACAAAACAAACACCTTTCTTTGTCAATTATGGTTATCATCCACGACTTGATACTTTTGACTTTTCAAAAGCTAATAATCTTGTGGCAAAAGATTTGACAAATCATTTATTAGAACTACATGCAAAAATGAAGGCACAATTAAAAGAAGCTCAAGAACAACAAAAGATCAATGCAGATGTCTATGAAAAGGAACAACCACCATTTTATACTAATGATAAAGTATGGTTACTTTATTGTAATATCAAGACCTTTCATTCTTAAAATAAATTAGACTATCGTAGACTTAGACCATTTCCTATTTTTTCACAAATCAATCTAGTTACACATCATTTATACCTACCGAAGTCAATAAAAATCCTTCCAATATTCCACATATCTCTTCTTGAATCATACAAGACAGTGGACATATTAAAAAGAAGACAAGTTCCACCTCTTCTTATAGAAGTCCTAAATTCAAGGTGGCACCAAAATAAATTGGAATATTTTATCCA